ATCTGGATAAATCTGTCATTACAAGTGACATGACAAAGAAACATTATCTAAAGTTTTCACAGTGAAAAAAGGTTTATTCTTGTATATAATCTTGCCTCATGATATAAATGACATTAGTGTGCTTTCTTATGAGTTTCATATTATGTTCAATTGTCTTAAAATGCATGTCACTTGTAGTTTGCTTTCTCTTTCATGAAGGAAAGCAGAGGTTTTTACAAACTCAAACTGTTCTTGTTCAGGAAGCTGAAGAAGAGTAACACTTTTAAGAGAGACTGAGATTTATTTTTTATTCTGTTCTTCATTGTGTAAGGCCTCTGCGGAACAGATACACCAAAGAGCTGCAGAATAAACACATTCCCAAAACAGGATCTAAAGACTCCCCCACACAGCCATCACGAGATCGTAAAACTGACAACACCCTCATTGTCTGGATTAGTTTCCTCTCAACATGATAGTAGCTAATCCAATCAAGGGAAAAGAGAACTCCTTTGTCTCGACGAACTGAAGACTCATTTAAGCAACACACGGTTAAGTGCTACCTCGTGGACACTATGCATAAATTCATAGTAGAAGCCCGAAAACAGGAAAAGGCAAATTTACGTGACACTCTCCAGGCCTGCAAACACCCAAGATCCATACAGCGTGACTCCTCGTGACCTCCGAGGGCAGGGGTCTGCAACCTTCAACAACAAAAGAGCCATTTCAGACCCTTTCCCTGCGGATAAAACTCTTGCAATCTTGATGTTTCAGAATTTTGGATCCATGCGTTAGTTCTTAAAGTGACAGCAGCCTGTGGAGCAGTTGTAGCCTAATGGTTAGAGAGTCGGACTTGTAACCCAAAGGTGAGACCCCTGAGCAAGGCACTGAACCCCCAACTGCTCCCCAGGTGCTGCTGCAAAAATGGCTGCCCACTGCTCCAGGTGTGTGTTCATGGTGTGCGTGTTCAATAGTCACTGCTGTGTGTTAAGCAGATCTTTTATCAAAAAGGGAAAGAAAGAAACACATAAATGTTTAAACTTCATTGCAAGCCATACAATCTAAAGTCAAATTGTGAAATTAATTTACTGAAACTTTGGAATTTTCCATAATAAAAGGCAAAAAAAAGAGCTACTATGTTAATCTTACTGCATGCACCCAAGTGTGAAAAGTGACATTAAAAACGCAATTTATTATTATTGTTTTTTACATTTTTGAGTAGACATTCAAAAACAGGACCAATTTAACAGATTGAAAGTGATAATTTCTGTCAATTTTACTATAATGTATATTTTTGTTGTCTTCCTAGGGAGAAGAAAAATTACAATTATAATCATGACAACACTGGGCGAAACTGTTGAAGTGTCTCGCGTCAGATATGATTGTGTAATTCTTACCTGTTATCCTGTTAAAACTAAAGTACTCCTGCAGTAATCTGAAAGTGAAAATCACAATAAAGCACATGTTGATGCAGTACTTCAGCAATCATCATTTTACTTGATCCCAAGTGTACAGCTAGCCACAAAAGGGCAACATTTTTACACCTCACCGAAAGTGATGTTTCGTTCTCCCTGTTGTCACGCTTATGGACTTGTTTTGGTGTGAAAACTCCACACAGTAGCAATCGTGACAGAACACCGGAACGGACTGAACTAAGAAAAAAATTAGTGAGCATCGCCTTTTCCACCTATTTTGTTTTCTCGTGTTTTTTTCTGGTTTCCCTATGGATCCCCTCGCCTCGATGTTCACCCCCCTAGCCCGAAAATACCTGCCGCTCGTGGAGTATGCAGTTGAGTTCAGCCAGCTCACCGATGCTGTGCTGAACTCACTGTTCTGGATCGGGGCAGTGGTAATACTGCCCCGTCGACCTCCCAGACTTGAAGCATCTATCCCCGATCCACAGCACAGCCAGACCCAGAGCCCAGCCCACCATCTCCCCGCTGTGTGGAGCCCAAGCCCGAGCCCACCGATGATTGAGAGCTAGAGCCTGGTGCGACCGACGAGCCATCGTCGAACAGAGCTACAGTGCTGAGGATCGCCGCGGAGCCGGAGCTGCAAGTAATGTCAGACCAGGTGCGAGAGCCGGCTCCAACGCCTGCCACGAGGGAGAATGCCGTGGACAGTAAGAGCGTGGAGAGGAGCTCTGCCCCCTGCACCATGGCTGAGGGTGAGCTTAATGTGGTTCTGGGACTGGTGTACTTAAAAGGAGAGATTTTGAATGTATATGCTGACCTGCCCCCTCTCCTCCCTCCTTCATCGGAGCCCTCTGTCACTCATGTTTCCCCATCCAGCCCGGAAAGAGACTCTGTTCCCGAGCTCAGCCCAGAGAGGGCTCCTGTTCCTGAGTTTAGCCCAGAGAGGGCTTCCGTTTCCAAGATCGGCCCAGAGAGGGCTTCCGTTTCCAAGATCGGCCCAGAGAGGGGTTCTGTTCCCAAGATCGGCCCAGAGAGGGCTCTTGTTCCCGAATTAGACCCAGAGAGGGCTTCTGTTCCCGAGTTTAGCCCAGAGAGGGCTCCCGTTCCCGAGTCCAGCCCCGAGAGGGCTCGTGTCCCCGAGCCCAATCCAGTGAGGGCTTCCATTCCCAAGTTTGGCCCAGGGAGGGTTTTTGTTCCTGATTGCAGCCCTGCAATCCCAGAGGCTCAAAAATGCCCAATGTTCCTCCGTCTCTGCCAGGCTCCTCCTTCCCTTTGGCTGCTCCTTGGTCCTCTGTCGCTCCGGCTCCACTGTGGCCTTCGGCCTCCTCGTCACCCTGGCTCATCGGCTCTGCGTCGGGCTCCTCCGCCACCTGCTCCGCTGCCATCGGTCGGCCCCCTGGAGTCATCAGGCTCCACCATGGGTTGCCTTTATGGCTGTGGCCTGGGCACCCACCTGGCTCCGCCTGCTCCAAGTCCCTCCTGTCTCCTCCCTGGCTCCTCCCTCTTTCATCACCACCCTGGACTCTGTCTTCTGGCCCCCTCATCGGTGTCCGTCCTCCCAAGGTCCCACCCATCCCTCCCTCTGTTTTTTCTATGGTGTGAGGAAGCACCTTCTGGGAGGGGTGGGGGTAATATGTCACGCTTATGGACTTGTTTTGGTCTGTTTTCCCTCCCCATGTGCTCCGTGACCTAGTTTCCCTCTTGTTTGATTAGTCATTTGTTTTAGGTGTGTCCCGTTAATTACCCTCATTTAGTTCAGTATTTAAAGTGTTGTCTGTTCCTTGATTCCTTTGTACCGTGTTCTCAATGCTGTGTTATATGTGTGTTCCTGCCTGCCCTGTATTACCGCTTGTATGGATTAATAAAGACTGTTCTTCATGACTCTCCTTCGTCTCCGTGTTCCTCGACTCCACACAATAGCAACCCTGACACCTGTATCTTCCTTCTGTGTATTGTGCACTCCAGAAATCCAGAGCATTTTGTTTCATTATTTTCATTCTAATGTTGTCACCATGTCTTATTATAAATGCTGTCGACCTTATCCACATTTTACATCAAATCAAAGACATAGCCATTTAACATGGAATATTGTTTTAGATTAAAAAAATGTATGCTGTGCTAACTAAACAAATACAATGCAGTAGTAAAGGGAAACTTTGACCTATTACAGGTGAGACTAAATGTTTCATAATTAATTAACTTCACAGTGTTATCAATGTGTTTTTCGGTTTATTATTGTGAAGCTGCTTTCAAGCAAACACTATATCGAGGGGTGAGAACCAGAAGGGTGTTAGTGACATTTCACCAACTTTACAGGAGGGCCAAAACAAAAATGTACCGTAGTTTGATCTGATTTTGTGTACTGATTTTAATAATTTATAATAATAATAATAATGTGTACACACACGGGTGACAGTATACTTATTGAACACTATTTTAACATTTATTCTGAATTGTTTTTTCTTTTTAATAAAAAAAAAAGTCACATGCCCCTTTTTAGCACCAATGTTTTATTAAATTTTGTGTATATAAACATGGGCACATCTGCTGACAATATGAACAAAACATTGCATTAATGAGTTTAATTAAAAGAAATAACAGTCCAATGAGATGAAATAAAATATCACATAAAAAGCCCTTACATCAACTTAGTTAATTGAATGTGATTAGTTTTACTGAAATAGTAATCTCAGCCACTTAACAATTTGGCCAAATGGGCGATTTAAAAAGTATTTACAGATGCCTTCCCTTGTGAAAAATAAATATACGCAAATGTATTTGAAATACATTTATTTCATGCTATACTAAAAATAAATTTACATGTTGTTTACATCTCACTAAACTGGTATAAAGTCTGCTAAATTGGAACAACTAATTTTGTACTTAATGTACTTTAATTGTAAGAAAGTAGTGCTGAAATCCAACTAAAGATGAACTGTATGGAATGCCAAAATTAGAAATAAAGAAATGTAAAAAAAAAGCAAATATAAATAAATAAATACATAAATAAACATACAAAGAAATGTAAAAAAACAAGTTAAAAAAATATATTTTTATAATTTTATATTTATATAATTTTATGTATTTTTTATTTATTTATACATTATTCATTTCTACTTTAATTTATTTTCACATGTATGTATTTACGTCTTTATTTATTTCCACATGTATTGATTTCTACATTTATTTATTTTCATATTTATTTATTTCTACATTTCTTTGTCCGTAGAGTAAATGGCAATGGAGCCAGAGTAGGCGAGGGGTAAGCTTTGAGGCCACAGTGATACCTTGTGGTGCCCAAACAAAATACAAGAAGTGTAGCCTACATGACGTGCCTGTTGATAGTGTGGGATGAATGACGGGCAATATGACCAAAATCTTATATCACAGGTTAAGTCATTTAATATCACCCTAACTGGCCTAACAATTAGCCTACAAATGCATAAAATCTTATACATTTAATATGAAACTAATACAATCTCATAATTTAATTGATTCCATCATGTCATGTTTCTGCCTTCAAAATGTAAAAC